AGGATCGAACATTGTTTCGTTCTGCTGTGCATGGAGTCGCTATGAGTCGGTTCCGACTCGATGGCACCTGACAACAACAACAACATTCATATATAAATTTTAATGCATCAACTCAGTCCACTATTTTAAACCACTGTAAATATTCTATTGACATAACAGATTTTGAGTGATCCATTATTCAGAATTTCAGTTTTGTATTGCTTCTCCCTCTTAGTTTTTCTCTTCTAAAAATAATATTAAGAACATGCTTGCACAAATGGTGTGGCGCTGGACTGCAAAGTCATTTTGAACTACAAGGTCGGCAGTTCAAGCTCACCAGATGCTTCTTGGAAACCCTATACAGGGTCGCTATGGGACAGAACTGACTCGACGGCACTTACAACAACCATAAGGGTAAGCAACTAGTACAAAGATAATTATTCTCAAAATAAAACTATAGCTTAGAGTATAAAATTATCAAGTTTTGTGTCATCTGATGTTCTTAATGTCATCTCACAATTCTTCTAGTCTTCAGTCATTAGCATCAAATACATCAAATCTGTTCATGAGATCATCTATCTCTAAATTCAGGTGGAACACATTCAAGGTCATATTTTGGCTGTCATGGACTTGTTTTAATTTTCTGTTCCACAGTCTGCCCCTGGTCTTGTTTTGGCTGATGATACTGAGTTTCTCACTATCTCTTCCCAAAGATGTAGTCCATTTGATTCCTGCGTATTCCATCTGGTCAGGTCCACGTGTATATGAGCCTTTATGTTGTTACAAAGAAAAGGTATCTGTAAAGTATAAGTCATTGGCATTGCAAAATCCTGTCATGCAGTCTCCAGCATCATTTCTGTCACCAAGATCATATTTTCCAACTACTGATCCTTCCTCTTTTGTTTCCAACCTTTGCATTCCAATCATCAGTAATTATCAATGCCATCTTGATTGCATGTTTGATCAATCTCAGACTATAGAAGTTGGAAGAATTAGTGGTTGGTGTGCAAACTTGAATGACAGTGGTATTAACTGGTCTCCCTTGTTGTTGTTGCTAGTTGTGGAATCTGTTCTGATTCATAGTGCCGCTGTATAAAGTATCCAAACAGTGGATGGTGGGTTCGAACCACCAACCTTACGGTTAGCAGTCCAGTGCTTATCCTACAGTGTCATACCAGGATTCCGGTCTTCCTTGTAGGTATATAGATATCCTATAACAGACAGCATTGTACTTTAAGATAGATCTTAAAATGTTCTTTTTGACAATGAATGCGATGCCATTCCTCTTTAATTTGTTATTCCCAGCCTAGTAAGCCATGCGATGGTCAGATTCAAAATGGCCAACACCAGTCCATTTCAGCTAACTAATGCCTAGGATGTCTATGCTTATTCGTTCAATTTCATTTTTGACCACCTCCGATTTTCCTAGATTCATGCTTTGTACATCCCATGTTCACTGGATTCAGAAGAGGCCGTGGAACGAGAGATATCATTGCTGATATCCGATGGATCTTGGATGAAAGCAGAGAATACCAGAAGGATGTTTACCTGTGCTTTATTGACTACGCAAAGGCTTTTGATTGTGTGGATCATGACAAGCTATGGACAACATTGAG